GGGGGGGGGGGGGGGGCGGCGGCGAGGGCGGTGGCGGCAGGGGCGGGGAGGGCGGTGGCGGCGAGGGTGGTGGCGGGCTGGGAAAAGAAAATCGGGGAATGGCATCAGGTTCGCATCTCTCTGTGCAGAGGACTAACGCGAGCTCTGATGACTGATTGGGACGAGAGTGTCGAGCAGGAGAACGCCGACGCGCCTACGGACCGCACGTCGCGGCGTGAGCGTCGAGACGAGGCCGCCGGCACGCTCTCTCGCGTCCTCGGCGCTCGGACTGGAGTCGGGCGGCGATTGGCGAGCAGCGAGAGCGGGTCGCTCTCTTGCCGTAAGAGAGGGAGGGCGGTCGGACGGGTTCGCGCGAGACAAGGGGGTGGAATGGGCAGCAGCGGACGCGTTTCGCGGCCTCCTCCATGGCAGCGGCTGTACCTGCGAGCGTGAGTTGGCAGGCGGTGCGAGGCGGAGGGGCGCCGTCGGGCGGCGAGAGAGGGCGCATTGCACGGCGGGAGTGGTGCGGGCGGGGCGGGTTCCGTGAGCAATAGGCTTCGCGGGGGTCTAGGTGTGCAGCTCGCGGCGGCATAGTCGGGCGCAATGCGGCGCGGCAAGCGCGAGCGGACGAGGAAAGTGCGCGGGCCATGGTTGCCTTGACGATTTGAGGCGGATTGCGGGGGGGGGCGAGAGATTACGCTGATTGCACTTTTTTTTTTTGAGAGCGCCTTCGTTGTTAATAGTACAAACCCAATGGTCCTCTGCGAGCGGTATTTTTTTTATTTTTCTCGCATCTCCCCGCTGCCACGGCAGCGCCACCCTCGTCTGCTCGGCCGTGTCTGCCATCGCAGTAAAGTCGTTATGTTCACGCCCCGCGCTCGGCGGGCCCGGAGAAGCAGCCCGGAAAGCACCTTTCCAAGTGCGAGGAACGCCAAGGACGAGCGAGTCACGCCCACCTTTTTTAGCACTTCCCCTGCTGTGTCCTCACAGTCCTCTGACGGTGTGTGTGTGCTGCGTCACCCTTTCCCTTTACGAGTCTACCACGAGTCTACCGCACAGTCTACCGGTAGACCGTAATGAACCTACGCCTGCAGTCTACCGGTAGACTTAGACTCCCTTTCACGCCGACCCACCGCTGTCTCTGAGCGTAGCGATATCGCCGGCTTGATCGCCCTAACCACCGCTGCCAGCCGCTGGCATCACTCGGCGTCCCTTTTGCCCCTTTTGCTGCCCTTCTTTGCGGCTCCCTTTCCCCTCGCGCCTTGCCGCGTAACTCTCTCGCGCCCCTTTTTTGAAAACTTTTAATTTTGTTTCTTTAAACCCTTTTTTTCCTTATGCACGGAAGATCTGTCATGCTGTCACAGACCGCCCATCAAAGAGTGCTTTTTGGAGTGTGCGGCCCTCCGGGGTGCACTAGCAGGGTGAGTGGGCTTGCTGCTGCTTGCCACTCCTTTCATCTCGCCAGTCCCAGCCCGCCACAGCCATGCAGCTGGCCCGGCCGTACGCATTCCTTGCCTTTGCATGCGCTCGCCATGTCCGTTGTCAAGCCCGAGCTTGGACTTCCGGCCGGCCTCCTGTGGTGCTCGCCTGGCGCCACACGCCACCTTCGAACCCGACCTCTATTACAAGTTGTGATGGCACGCGGCCCGTCTCCATCGCACGCGGCCTGGAGGTTGCCCGCCTGGTGTGCTTCTCCTTTCGCCCTCACCAGTCGCTGAGGTCACGACGAGCGAGAACTCTGTGACACCACAGCAACGCGAAGTGCGTCCTCAGACCGCTTCTGCCGCGCCTCCCGTCTACGACGAGTGCCGGTTTCGGGATGGCCAGCGGCAGTGACCTTTCTCTGTGCTTACGTCCCAGGCTTCTGCCTTTGGTGCCTCGGACGCCTCGGCCATGCACCTCTGAGTCGCGTTGGGTGGACTCTGGACAGCGAACCCGCACGCCGACCAACCCTGTCTCTGAGTGTAGCGCGATCGCCGGCTTGGTCGCCCTGACCACCGCTGCCAGCCGCTGGCGTCACTGGTTCTGCGTCCCTTTTGTCCCTTTTGCTGCCCCTCTTTGCTCCCTTTTCCCTCGCCGCGTAACTTGCGCCCCTTTTGAAAACTTTTATTTTATTTCTTTAAACGACGCGTCGGTTGGCATTCTTTTTCTCGAGTTCGCTGCTCGAAATTCTTTTTCTCGAGAACTGGCCAGGCCTCTTCCGTCGCTGCCTGCCGCCCGATGCGTGCCTCTCTGCGTATCCTCTCTGCCCTGTGCGTCGCCAACGGACTCGCCTCGCCTCTGCTCCGCGGCGCGTCCGCGCGCGCAAAGGGCGAGCCCGGCGTCGACAAGCCTCACGGGCTGCTCGCTGCGGCCACCTTCTCGTGGCTAGACCCGATGCTGCACCTCGGTGCGACGCGGCCGCTGCAGCTGCCCGACCTCCCGCCGCTCGAGGCGCCGGGCCTGCCCACTCGCGCCGCCGCCGACAGTTTTGAAGAGCAGTGGGCGCGCCTGTCGGCGTCGTCCACGCCGACGGCGCTCAACGTCTCGGAGGTCGCCGTCGCGCTCTGGCGGTGCCACGGCGGTCGGTTCGCGTGGGCGGGCGGGCTCAAGCTGTGCTGCGACCTCTGCCAGATCGCCTCGCCGCTCCTCCTCAAGCGGACCATCGCCTTGCTCGAGTCTGGCGCAGGGCTGAGGCGCGGTGCCGGGGCGGTGGCCGGACTGCTCGGCCTGACCGCGCTGCAGGCATCTGGTAGTCTCGGCTGTCTCGCGGCTACACCTCGGCTGCACCTCGGGGCGTCTACGCCATATCTCGTCGGACCTCGGCTGCATGTGCATGCACCCGGCTGCACCTCGGCTGCACCTCGGCTGCACCTCGGCTGCACCTCGGCTGCACCTCGGCTGCACCTCGGCTGCACCTCGGCGCTGCAGGCCTTCGCATTGCGGCACTACTTCGCCTCCGTCTTCAAGACGGGGCTCGCGATGCGGGCTTCCCTCGCCGTAATTAATTAGCAATGAGTACATAGTGTTTTGTTTAGCTAATCAGGCTCGCGATGCGGGCTGTCTGTGGCTTCATGAATGAATGATTAATGATTAATGATTAATACCGACTAATTAATCAGGCTAGCGATGCGGGCGGCGCTCGTCGGGGCAACCTACCGCAAGCTCCTCCTCCTCTCCCCGGCCGCTCGCTTGCGCGCCTCCTCGGGCGAGATCACACGAGATGACACGAGATCACCCAAGATCACACGAGATCACCCGAGATCACACGAGATCACCCGAGATCACACGAGATCACCCAAGATCACACGAGATCACCCGAGATCACACGAGATCGGCCGAGATCACACGACTTCGGCCGAGACTGAGGGTTGGCGCATCCGTCTCGGAAGGCGAGATCACCAACCTGATGGGCTCGGACGCGCAACGCATCGCCGACCTCACGCCGTACCTGCACGCGCTCTGGTTCGCGCCGCTGCAGGCGACCGCCGCGATGGCGCTCGAGCTGCGTACAACTCCAGCTGTGAACGGCGTATCTTCACGCCGCCCGGCTGCGCGAGACAGGTGACCGCCGCGCTGGCGATCCTCGGCCGCGAGCTCGGGTGGGCGGTGCTGCCAGGGCTGGCCGTGATTGGAGCAATGTTGCGGCTGAACAAGTCCATCGCCGCGGCCACGTGCCGTTTGCCCGCAGAAGCGGCTGTTGCCACTACCGGGCGTTTCTTCATGGCACTATCGGGTGTGAGTAGGTACCGAGTGCAGAAGCAGCTGCAGCTGGCGCGCGACGAGCGCGCGCGGCTGACCCGCGAGCTGCTCGGCGGCATCAAGGCAGTGTAGTTGCTCATACGTTGTTATTGGTCACTAGCCATTAATGAATGACCCGCGTACTGCTCGGCGCATCAAGGCGATCAAGCTCAACGCGTGGGAGGCGCCGTTCGGCGGGCGGATCGAGCGAGCGCGAGACGCGGAGCTCGGGCTGATGCGGCGGCTGGTGAAGCTGCGCTCCCTCCTCTCGGCCCTGTTCACGTGCACGCCGACGCTCGTCGCCGTCGTCATGCTCGCCGCCTCCACCTACGCGTACCGCACGCCGCTCACTCTCAAGACTGCGATGACAGTGCTAGCGACGGTCAACCTGCTCCGCTCGCCGCTGGTCTTCCTCCCGCTCGTGCTGCAGTCGCTGCAAGAGGCTTCCCTCTCCTTTGGCCGCATGGCATCTTTCCTGCGGCTGCCCGAGTCCACCCCTCTTCCCGGCAACGATTTGGCCGAAGTCGGAGTCGCCTTCCACGCCGCGACGCTGCAGTGGCCGTCCGACGCAGCGTCCGGCAGTGGCGATGGCAGTGGTGGCGACGCCAGTGGTGGCGATTTTAGTGGTGGCGACGCCAGTGGTGGCGATGGCGGAGGCGGCGGAGGCGGGTTCGCGCTGCGCGACATTAGCCTCTCGGCAACGGGCGGCCAGCTGGTTGGCGTCGCGGGCGCGGTGGGGAGCGGCAAGTCGAGCCTGCTGGCCGCGCTGCTTGGGGACATGCCGTGCTCCCGTGGGTCTGTCCAGCTGCGCGGCGGCATCGCCTACGCCGCGCAGACGCCGTTCCTGCTCTCTGCGACGGTGCGCGACAACATCCTCTTTGGCAAGCCGTACGACGCCGACAGGTTTGCACGGGTGGTCAAGGCGTGCCAGCTGCTGCCCGACCTGGACAGCCTCCCGTTTGGAGAGCTGACGCTGCTCGGCGACAAGGGCGTTGCCCTCTCCGGAGGCCAGAGAGCGAGGGTGACGCTCGCGCGAGCGGTCTACTCGGACGCGCAGGTGGTGCCCGACCTCAGTCATTAATTCATTCATCTACTCATGTTATTAATTCATGAAGGTGGTCTTGCTCGACGACCCTCATTCACAACTTGATTCATTCATTCATTGAGATTCTTATCTTTCTTAAGCCATTCATTCCTCTCTACTCTTATTACTTCATTCCCGAAGGTGGTCCTGCTCGACGACCCGCTGGCCGCGTGCGACCCGACCGTGGCACAGCGGCTGATGCAGCGAGTCATCGGCCCACGCGGGCTGCTCAAAGACAAGCTGCGCGTGTTCGTCTCGTCGTCGCTCGAGCCGCTTGCCGAGGCCGACGCGATCCACGTGCTGGCTGCGGGCGGCGTGGCCGAGTCGGGCGACCGCTGCAGCGCTCGAGGCCGCGCGAGGCGAGTTCTTAGTGAATTCATTGATATGATTAATTAGGCACTTTTGCGGAGCTAGAGGCCGCGGGAGGCGAGTTTGCGCGCCAGCTTGCTCTCAGCCGCGAGCAGAGGTCAGGCATGCAGGCGGCGGAGGAGGGCGGCGAGGGCGCGGCGGCCGTCGAGGCGGCGGCGCACGAGGCGGCACACGAGGCGGAGGCGCCCCCCTCGCCTCCGCACGTCCTTTCGGTGGGCGACGCCGAGAAGGCTTGCTAACCCGACCCCTACCCCTACCCCTACCCCTACCCCTACCCCTACCCCTACCCCTACCCCTACCCCACCCCTACCCCTAACCCTACCCCTACCCCCTACCCCTAACCCTAACCCTAACCCTACCCCTAACCCTCACCCTAACCCTAACCCTACCCCTAACCCTCACCCGACAGACAAAATAGCATCCAGCTCCCTCAGTCTCTCAGTCTCAGTAATAAGCTAATTAACTAAGTTAATGAGTAGGCGTGCACGGCGTCGGAGGCCCCCTTGATTAACTAAGGGGTGACGTGATAATGAACCAATGAATGAGTTAGGCGTGCACGGCGTCGGAGGCCACGGCGTGCGAGGTCGTCGCCCACGCGGAGCCGCCGGGAGGGGAGGCGGAGGCTGCCGCCGCTGCTTCCGGCGGGGAGGGAGACGGCAGCGGCGGCGGGGCGGCGGCCGGCGCGGGTGGGGAGGGGAAGGAGGAGGAGGCGAGGGTGACTGGCGCGGTGCGGCGGGAGACGCTGGCTCGGTGGCTGGCGGCGGCGGGAGGGAGGAGGGTCGTGCTGTTTGCGCTGCTTCCGCTGGTTGCGGCGGAGCTGGTCTCGACAAGCTCCTCGTGCTGGCTCGGCTTGATTTTTCGTGAGTAAGTGTTAATGAGCTGCTTGGCTAGGTCTCGACAAGCTCCTCGTGCTGGCTCACCTGAATTAAGTAATGAGCAACGAGTTCATCACCTGCCTAGGTCTCGACGGGCTCCTCCTGGTGGCTCACCCGGTGGGCAGCCGCCCCCGCCACGGCGCTGCTGCCGCCCCTGCTCCGTGTCCTTCACGTGAGATCGCCCCAGATCACCCTCCGTCGGGCGGCGGCACGCGTAGGCGCAGCTGCCGTACCTGCTCGGGTTTGCGGGATGGGCAGTGGCGAGCGCGGTGCGTGCCGCGGCGCGGCTTCGAGGCGGAGATTGCCCGAGATCGCACCCGAGATTGTCCGAGATCAGGTGCTGGTCGTGGTCCGTTCTCGCATGATGCTCAGCCTCGGCCTGCTGGCGGGCGAGGCGAGCCACTCCTACGCCCTGACCAGCCCGGATTAATGAACCAATTACTGAGTACATAATTGATGAGTGAACGATTCAGGCGAGCCACTCCAACTTCCTGACGCGCCCGAGTTGATTCACCACTGAGCGCATGCTGAACAAGTGACCAGGTACTCCACTCCGAGCTCCTCACCCGCGTCTTGGCCGCGCCGCTGTCGTTCTTCGACGTGACACCGCGCGGGCGCGTCCTGTCTCGCTACCGCCGCGAGACGGCATGCGTGGCTGGCCCTGTGCCGGAGGGTGGTGGTTGTCTCCTCGCCAGGCGCGTCCTGTCTCGCTTCAGCCGCGAGATGCTCACTGTGGACGTGTCGCTGCCGTCGGCGCTGCAGACGTACCTGTCGACTCTCGCGTCCGTCGGCACAACCCAACCCGCCCCCACCCCACCGTACCCGAACCCACCCTCTCCTATACCCCACCGTACCCGAACCCACCCTCCCCTATACCACCGTACCCGAACCCACCCTCCCCTATACCACGGTACCCGAACCCACCCTCCGCTCCCCTATCCGAGCCGATGCGACCCGCACTCTGTCTAGGTCGCATGTTCTGCCTGTCTGTCCCCGCCCGTCGTGCCCGACAGACCTGTTGGAGTCGCGGCTTTCCCTCTGAGTCCGCCTGTCTATCAAGTCTCTCCTGCCCGTTGTCGT